TATATGGTGTTTACTGTATTTTTGGGATGTTACATTAGTGGTATCAGAGCAGTTTTTTTCTCTTAAGGGACACTGTAGGTTATGAGTACACTGTATTTTTGCTGTGTGCTTAATTTGTGTTTAATGAGTTATTTTCAATTCTTTGAACAGGACTAACGCTCGTTTTTCTCTGTTTCCAGAGAACAAATGACACCTAGACTTCCTCCTCCTCCACAGCCTAATGAGCCAGATGCGTCCAACAACGCTAGGCTGTTGGAAACGGTGATAGATAGGTTGCAACAGCAGAGTAACACACTGATGGAGCAGAACGCCACTCTGATGCAGCAAAACCAGAACGCTATGCAGAGTTTGGAGGCCTCTCGCGCCAACTCTGAGGCTACTCAAAGGCAGTTGATGGAGATTTTAGCAGCAACCAGGCACACTCCGGGGCATCCTCTTCCAACGCTGCCCAACCTACTGCTGAGTGGAGCTTGGAAAGTTTCCTCCAACACCATCCTGCAAAATTCAGTGGAAAATGCCTTCCTGATGAGGCAGACCAGTGGCTGAGGGATATGGAGCGTATTTACAACGCTAAGAGGTGTTCGGATGACAACCGGTTAGCATTTACAAAATACTTGCTGACTGGTGAAGCTAGCCACTGGTGGACGAGCATGAAAGCTATCTTAACGGACGCTCAGAGTCCCATTACTTGGGCGGTTTTCAGGAACAAGTTCTATGAGGAATATTTCCCAGACAGCGTTCGTTACGCTAAGGAAGTTGAGTTCCTTCAACTGGTGCAAGGAGCAAAATCTGTGTCAGAATATACTAACACGTTCAAACATTTATTGAGGTTCAATACAATGGCAACCAATGAGGAGTGGCAGTGTAGGAAGTTTGAGAATGGGCTGAGGAGTGATTTGAAGGTACTAATTTCAAGCCTGTGTATTCGTTCGTTTCCTGCAATGGTTGAGAGGGCCAAGGTACTGGAGAAAAATATGGCTGAGGTCGAACAACAGAAGAGGCAACAAGCAACCAGAGGACCAATTCTATCAAGGACGAATCTGAATCGGAATAGGCCGTCGTACGCTCGTCCAGTACAACCATTGAACTCGAGTAGATCGCAAGCTATGGTGGTTGTCGGACAGTCTGAGCAACATGAAGCGGTCAGATGTTTTAGGTGTAGGGGTCCTCACTACAAGTCTTCATGTCCTCAATTGGTTGGAGGGAAGTATTGCAATCGCTGCAGAAGAAACAGTCACTTGGAGAGCGAGTGCAATATGGGAGGTCGAGCGGTACTGAGGCCGCCAAATGCTGGAAGGGCACAGGTGATAACAGTTGAAAAACTGTTATTTTCATGCTTAAAATTTATAGTAAAAGCAACCTTTAGACTTAGAAACTAGCTTGAAATCATGCCTTTTAGTTATATTTTCATAAATAAGAGAGCTGGACAGGTTTACACTTGATTTGAGTGTTTTTGTGCAGGTTTTGAGGTGAATTTGGTGAAAGAAGTGAAGAATGAGAGAGAGGACATTAGAAAAGACAAGAAAGAGTGCAAAAAGGAGAAGTCGAAGGCACCGCTCAGCGGCAAACTACCGCTGAGCGGCACTCAGGAGGTGGCGTTGGAACCGCTGAGGGGCAAATGGCCGCTGAGGGGAAGAAAGAAGACGCGCAACCACCGCTGAGCGGTAAATACCGCTGAGCGGTAAATACCGCTGAGCGGCACTTTTTGGGCTTGGGCTTTTGTAATCTTTTGTAACTCTAAATTAGTATATAAGGGCTTGCACGTCCTTTAGTTAGGTATCTTTGGCAGAAACGAGGCAAACACTCTCTCTTTTCACCCCTTGAGGGTAGATTGGGAGATGGTGACAGCTCTCCTCTTCTCTTTC